ATTTGCTGTCTCTTGTTCTATTGTTCTGCATTAGTTTCAACTTTCTGCCACTCTCCCTGATTACCTCCTGTGTGTATGTAAAGCTTTAGTTTGTTTATCTACATTATTATCGTTAACTTCATTTGAGTCATACTGTGTTCACTTTTGTCTCCCATGTGCCTTAATATTTAGTTTGCTAAAATTCTCCTACAACCTCAGTAAAAGGTTTGCCTCACCTCTTGTTTAGTTTTGCTTAGTTTTGAGGTCTATATTTATGTCCCATGTGCTAAGAAAAAAGATAAAGGATGGACAATTTTAATTCTTCTATAACAGAAGCCTTTTGTTGCCCCTGACAAAACATTTGTCAGACTCAAATTCATAATGAGGTCATATTTTTCATAAAATAGTAGACTCACTGATATGTGGGGATTTGAACTTTGCATTCTGCTTTTTACATTTTACATAGAAAACCTAATTTTCAGGAATCAAGGTTGTACTTTTGAAACCTCTGATTCGCTCAGCCTGTAAAGGTAGTGGAGTAGTAATGGAGCCACCTGTTCAACTGATTCCACAGGAAGCTTCTCGACATGTCTTAGTTTAAGTTTACCCTTAACCAATTTCTGTTTACAGCCAACATATATCATTGATGAACTCTTGTATGACCACTTTCATTTTCAAATTACAGATGCTGCTAAAAAGTGTTATTATCTTAGTTTCTTTATTTCCAAATTGAAATTTCAGTTGAAACTGTAAATGAGGAAATCACTGAGCACAAAGAGTTGTGGTTCACACTGAGAAAATGGAAGTCACATTGCTGTAACTTCATAGAACGTTCAACAATATTCAACATGTACATTCAACAATCATACAACTTAAAAAAAGATCGACTGTGAACATTTTGAAGGCATCTTAACACAATCAAAAAAAATTAAAATAAAACTCAAATAAAACAATGTATCCACTATGTAAGAAAAGCTGAAATGTATTGAAGAGAATTGTGTTTTTCAACATTAAAGAAATCTAAATCTAAATCTAAAAGTTATGAATATACTTACAACGTTGAGCATATGCCATGTTTAATGTTTCCAGGCAGTAGAGCTGTGACGTGTCACTGTTGCTGTCTTGTCTAGTAAATAGTTTCCTTTTTGTTTCAACGTTTTTAAAGCCCATTTCTAGTCCCCTCCCCTTAACATTATATGTCCTTGCTGGGCTTGTGTGAGAGCTAATATTAATCTTTGTTTACTAAGGTGTGTAGTGTGTATACAATAAAACGAAAGAGCATTATCTACCTCTGACCATGCTGTCACATGTCTTTGCTGTATTATAGCCACACATTGATGGTAAAATATGTGAAACAACTAACAACTAAGTATTGATCTTGTACATTTTTGTGTGGGCATACATGACCCTGTGATAACAGCTGTTAAACATGCTCCACAGTTTCTGGATATATCTGAGTCGATCTGTTCTTAAACGCAGTAGAGCTATGCTGTATCATTGCTGGCATCTTGTTTCGGAATAATTTCATTTTAATACTATATACCGTACTGGCTATTATAGTTAACTGGAAATAAAAACTAGAATTAGGTGTGAAAAAACCCCATAAACATTTCAGTTAATTAAATACAAATTGTGTGACATCCGCAAAGACAGACGGAGAGAGAGTGGAGAGAGTGTGGACCCAAAAGCAGACAAAGGAGATGGAGGTGAACACTACAGAAGGCAAGCCTTTATTTTGGGACACACGGTTCTGTATTTCTTGGTTGTGAAAACAACAAACTTTGTGTTTTTAATCCTCAAAAATTGTGTGTCACAGTTTAGCAGCTTGTGATGAATTAAGCTCTGTTTTCTGCATTTGCTTTTTCTCCCTTTTCTTCTTCAAGTGGGCTTTGAGGTTGTTCTCAAAATAAATGGCATGATTTCTTGCCTTCTCTAGTATGATCTGTTTCCAGAAAACACATCTTCTCTTAATCTCTCTTGCTTGTTCCCCTCAGAGACCACTGATAAAGCTGTTTCTTGGTTGAGTAGTAGAAAATTTTGCATTGACGATACATGCAGGAAAAAAAACACAGCTATTTGAGAGGAATCTGGATAGTGTGTGCATCGCTGTCATAGGCTATTCGTAAAGAGTGGAGGTGGCTGATTTTTCTGATGAATCAGCTTGATGCTTGTAAAACCTCCAATGCTGAATGTACTGTGGTTGATAATAAGTTAATAAGAATCTCCCAGTACTATGTGCTGTCCTGTATGGTGATAGTGGGGATGGAGGTCAACCAACAACATTTTGGAGGTGTCTACTCTGACACACTGAGGGTCAAAGGAAGGTTAAAAAGAATTATTTCTGGGAAAATTTATCCTTACCATCCTTGTCCAGCTTCTGAATATACACTAGCTAAGTCTGGACACACTTTCTCGTTCAATGTTTTACTACTCTCTATGTTGTAGATGCATATGTCAAGAATATAAAGCAAGTTATATATGTAACACAGTAAAGGGAATTACTGAATAGATTATATTAATGGGCCAATAGGTTTGACTATAGGAGCACAGGGGTGTATTTATCTGAGACACCAAGGCAGGAATGTTAATGCAAATAACCAGCCATCTTTAGTGAACCAAACCATAAGTTCTGACAACCACAGGATTAAGGCTCTTTATACCATTGTGGGAAAGAAAATTACAAAAAATAAATAAATAAAACAAAGTAAAATTACATAAAACTATTAATGTAGTGATTTGGCCAGTAGTTAGCTTTTAGTTCTTAATGTTGGGCGCACCCTGGTAACCTGACTCCTAAACTGTTATGGAGAACAGATTACTCAAATTCAATGTCCATTCAAATGAAGATCCCACCATCCATTCACATGTAGAGAATGTTCTACACAGCAGCTTATTGTTCACAGCCCCAAATAAAACTTGTCTAAGGTGTATAGTCCAAAAGGTGTGAAATAAAATAAAAGTGGGAAAATGTCAGTCAGTGGTCTTACATAACCAGCTGTGTGTGAAAGGCCAACCACACCACAAGGTGAAGCAGATCATCAAGTGGAATAGAAGGGAATCTCAGTCTCTCTTAGTCCAGGTGGGACTGTTTCAAATCACACCTAGATTATTCACTGATGACTTGATGTAGACAATCTGTGTCACTTACAGTGTCTGAATCATCAGTTTTGCTCCCGCTGGGTGCACATGTTGGGCATTTTAATTACTGGACTTAAATAGGTAAGACTCCAGTAGAATCGGAGCCTGTTTTTTTCTGTTAAAAGGGATTTTTTTTCTCCTCTCTGTCACCAAGTGCTTGTGCATAGGGGGTTTCTGATCGTTTGGGTTTTCTCCATATTATTGTAGAGTCTTTACCTTACAATATAAAGTACCTTGAGGTGACTTGTTCGGATTTGGCACTATAGAAATGAAATTTAATTGAATTGTTATACGGCCTGAGTCTATCCAGTATTTGTGTTTTGGTTTTTTTTCCCCTATCCCCTATCCCATTCTGGTTAATGTTTTGTAAAGTTTTGCAATTTTTCACTACACAAATTCCCTGGCTTTCAACCTTTATACTTTTATGCAGTTTTCTTTTTTGTTCAGGTTTTACTGCAGGGCTGTTAACAGAAGGGAAAAACATAGATGAAGAGTTTGTGCAAACTGTAAATCCAAATCTCAGTAAACTCCTCTCAGTACTGTTCACCTCTTTGCCAATTTTGGGTTTTAGTTTCATGGAGTTAATCATTGTGGCGGGGCGTAGTCTGCGGCGCAGCTGCGAGGGAGACGGATGCACCTGTGCAGCATCCACTATCAAGCTTCACCGGCTTTAAAGTCTGTACCTGGTCCTGAGTTTGTGTTGTTGTTGTTGGTGTGTGTTCACCTGCAAGCTGCAAAGCTGAAGCTGTGATTCCACTGAAACAGCAACCGAGTAAATG